GAGGAATGTGACCTCTACCTTGAAAGACAGGGACCAAACCAAGCCACAGCGGCAAGGCTTCTCGGAAGCAACAGAAACTGTGCAGGGAGAAGAGGGTGTCAAAATATCACGTGTCCCCCAAGAATGGATACATGTGCTTTGAATAATTATAAAGGCGGTGTTTATTAAAATACATTTCATATCGTTGTAAATAAAAATATATCAAATACATTCAAATCAAAATGCTGAAATATATTTAATTTTTAAAATTCTCTCCTCTTCCTGGAATGTACTTTGAACCAACCATGGCACAGAATTTTCAATCCTGTGTGGATATCATAAGCTCATTTGTATTGGCTCCTCCCAGACCCATTGCATCAAAATCTGAGGGAGAGAGACCGGCTGGCATATTTCTAACAGGCTCCCCAGGGGAGTCTGCTGCCCGGGCAGGTCTGAGAATCACCATTTACAGATCACACACCGGCTCATTAGAGAGCCATGATTTTAATCCAGGAACTACTGGGACTTGGCCCAATAATTGCCTTCAATGACTTCATTCATCACTTGTAGGTGGAAAAGTGATCATTAGTTTGGTAAGAAGAGGGATGGGCAGAGAATCCATAAAGGACTGGGTTTCTCGGGGTGACTTCGGGGCGCAATCTAATCCTCACCCAAAGTACCTATTACATGAAGACAATGGTTCAGACAGGCTTTATCAGGCTTATTTCAAGTTTCTCTTGCTTTTCTATATGTCTGACGGCTCAGGAGTCATTTCTTAGAGGATTACCTCTATTTAAAACCACCCTCTTATCCTTTTTGCCGTGAATTCTTTCCAAGGTATAGAAAAGAACATTTCAACGTGTAAGAAGCTAGTTCATCAAAAGGATATTCAGGTTCACTTGCGTAGTGTCCTTTGCTAAGAGTTGACACTGACATTGCCTCTGAACTGTGAACCATGCCTGGAAACCATGTATCCCCTCTCCACCCTCTCTTTTCCCCCCCTAAATTCTAAAGCTGAAATTCAGTTAGCCCGCCACTTTATTTTCTCTCACCCTGTTGTTTTGAACCAGCATCCCTATGATATTAATGTCATAGATGATCTCCATAGTTGAGTGCAAATGCTCTCACTCTGCACCTTCCTAGAGTGAGTAATTTCTATGAAATCATTGTATTTGTGAATGTTGCTGAAGAATAAATAATGCAGCACAAAAGGGCTTTAACCTGATCCCAAAACCTACAACCAGGCTACAAAGCCAGTGGTGCATTGACTTCAAAAACAGATCACTTCTCCATTTCCAAAACGCCCTCTTTTCTCCCAGGAAGGCTCCAATTCCATTCTGATGTTATGGCGCGTCAAAGCCTGTGCAAGGCCTGGCAGGCATGTAACGTCCCAGCTCACCTTGCACTGTTTTCCCAGCTTCTCACTGGGCCCAAGAGGCTGGCCTTCATTTATCACAGGCCTCTCTCCGGTCCTCACTCACATTCCCAGGGCATGGGGAACTGTCCTTCTCCTTAGAGATTCATTTCATGACCCCCCCCACCCCCACCATGCTGTAATTTACATCCCTCTTTATTCTGTAAGAAGACACATCAGATACTGTGTTTTTATTTAGTCTTGAAGTGCTCGGTGCTGGAATCATTCCTTAAGCTGTACAGACTGACTGTATTTAAGAACGTTGGTTGGTTGGTTGGTTGGTTGGTTGGTTGATTGGTTGGCTGGTTGGTTGGTTTGGCCTACATACCTGGCGCATTGCTGAGCCTCAGGAAGGGTACAGAGCAGAGGTGGGAGAAATGAGGAGCCGGGCTACCTTCTTCATGCAAAGTTGTCAGCAGGTTGAGCGTGGCGTGTGCCACAGTGGCTTCGACGTAGCCAAGCACTGAATACCCCACAGCAAGGTCAAGGCAGGAACAACTGTGACTAGCAGCTACCTGGATTAACTGCTACCTACCTACTGAAGAGCAAAGAATCTGAAAACTCTTCATAGAAAACGGAGCTAAAAGGCCGTGGTTTTTATTTAAACAGATTGGTACATCAGACATAAAAAGCCTAGGCATGCGGCATGCTCTTGATGTGTAGAGTGTCTTTTAGATCCATGGTGTAGGGCCCGGCTAGCAAACCTCAGACTTAAACAGATAAATGGCACATGCAGAGTTCCTTGGAGATGTTATTAGGAGCAGTTGTAATTCTTTAAAAACGTTGGTATTGAATTGTTCAGGTCGTGACAACAGGGCTACTAGGAACTTAGTGGAAATTTATTGGGCCCTCTTAGAGTATTGAATATGGCATTTGAACAATTTCAAGTATAAATATAGGTTATGGCATTTTAACAATGTCTGCTATAAATCAGGCTGCTCTAATGAAAATGGTACAGAACAAAAAGGGGATGTAAATTACAACATGGGGAGGGGAGTCAGGAAGTGAATCGCTGAGGAGAAGAACAATTTTCCGGGTCCTGGGAGAGTGTAAGTTGAAGACCTGAGCCAGGAGAGAGGCCTGTGATTACATAAAGGCCAGCCTCTCTGGAGCCCAGTGAGGAGCTGGGAGAAGCTGGGAATGCAGTATGAGATGAGTTGAGAAGTTACTTGACGTTGCAGTGCTGTTTCGGTGGCTGGAAAGGAAAGTTACTGAAGAACCGGCATGGTTCAGTTGGGTTTTAACAAGCTCATTCTCCTAACCACATGGAGAATGGATTAGATGGGGTTATGATTAGAAGCTGAGAAATCTCTTAGGAGACTGACTAATGTCCAGGCAAGCAAAGGTGGATGAGTAGACTTGGGTATAAAGAAAATGACTAAAAGAAACTGGAGGTAAGACCAACAAAATTTATCAAGTATTGTGCTGAGCGAAATAAGCCAGTCAGAGAAAGACAAGTATCCCATGATTTCACTCCTATGTGGAATCTAATGAACAAGATAAACTGATGAATAAAATAGATCTAGAGACACAGAAGCATGGAACTGACTGTGGGTTCTTAGAGGAAGGTCAGAGGTGGGTGGGACACAGACAATAGTATGGTGAAGGCCTGGGTGGGGGGTGAGAGATGGACTAGAAGGGGTCAATGGTGAAAAGAAGGGGACCTATGTAATACTTTTAATAATAAATACTTAAAATATCTGGGGGGAAAATACATATTCTGCAGTTTCTAAAATGCTACCATGCATAAGTGCTTTGAAAATTGGGTAGAAAAGGGAATAGATTAAAAGGGAAGGAAAGTATTTTTGAGGAAGAAGTGAATAAAAGAAGTACAGATGACGGAACAGTCTAGAAGGCATATATTAAAGTGGCCGTATTTACCAAGTGAAAATAAGGAAGCAAGATTTAAGGAAGATCATTTTTCCTAAGAAACAGTTCTCACTCTGGCTGCACACTCACATCCCTGGGGAGATTTTAAAAACTAGATGCCCCGCCCCTCTTCCCTGCAGTGGTTCTGATTTCATTAATTTGAGGTGGGACAGGGGCATAGGTTTTTTTGTTTGTTTGTTTGTTTGTCTTAATTCCACAGAGGACTGTAATGAGCAGCCAGGACTGAGAGCCCTTAGAAGTACAGCTGGGGCTGTGAGGTCAATAAATCTAATCCATTAAGGAAGATTAACAGTGAGAGTGGGGTGAAGGAACTTCCCCCAGATAAAGAATGAAAGGTCCCTTGGTTAAACAGAGATAGTGCCCGACTACAAGAAAACAGTTAATTTTCTTCTGTGATTTTTTTTTTTTTTTTTTAAGCAGAGACAAATGTTATTCTCGCCTTACTTCTTAGGAACACAGACACTCACACAGAAATCACACGTATTTAAAAATATATCCTACTTCTAAGAGGTGGTGCCTGACTGAAAGAAGAGGAAGAGGGGAGTCCCAAATGGTGCCCAGAGGCAGGGAAAAGTAAGGAGTAGCAGAGGAAAGTGCTACTTCACCAGGGGTGAAGGAGCCAGTTATTGTTAGGGGGTGGGAGAGGGGCGGATACTGTCACTGGCCACCACTTACACTTGGCATTTGGCTTCACTGTGCCACACAGCTGAATCCTCCCAAGACTGAGCTCTGGAATGAACCATAGAATGAACAGGGCAGGACTAAACACCAAGCAACTCTTCTGAAAAGAGAGGAGAGAGAGAGAGAGAGAGAGAGAGAGAGAGAGAGAGAGAGAGAGAGAGAGAGAGAGACCAAAAAACAGAATTCTTAGACGGCAATGAAGATTCCTTGTTGGTGCTAGGTGAATGGGTCATTGAGAACAAGAGAGAGAGAGAGAGAGAGAGAGAGAGAGAGAGAGAGAGAGAGAGAGAGAGAGAGAGAGAGAGAGAGAGAGAGAGAGAGGAGGGAAAGAAAGAAAGAAAGAAAGAAAGAAAGAAAGAAAGAAAGAAAGAAAGAAAGAAAGAAAGAAAGAAAGAAAGAAAGAAAGAAAGAAAGAAAGAAAGAGAGAGACAGTCATATTATGGGCCCTAATCATTCCATTCATTTGCGTTCTGCCTGGAATCAGAACCAGCATTTAAACAGTTATGTCATTTTTTTTGTTCCACTCACACCTGCTTTGCACCCTAACTCCATTCAAAGCAGCAAAGAATAACGTGTGGTGCAATTTCCAAATCCCACCTCGGGGGAGCTTTCAGGGTTCCCACCGCCCGCCCGCCCGGGAGAGGTGCTCACAGGAGAAGGCTGTCGCCCCTCATATTGGCTGGGATAAAATCTGGAAACCCTGCAAAGACAGAACGTGGGCTTTGAGTTTTGAGTGGGCATGCCCACTGCAGGAAGAGAGAGAGGAAGCAAGAGAGAGCTGGGGGCTAAGGAAAGGCGGGGGAGACGAAGAGAACCCCAGACTGTGGGGACTAGGGTAGGAAAATGACTCTGGGACACCAAACTCGAAAGAGTTGAGCCCAGCTCAGAGGCAGCAACTGGCCGCCACTGGCCCCACAAACCCTCAGGAAGAGGCAAAGGCCAGCGCGAACTACAAGTCCCAGAATCCCCCGCTTCCTAGCGCCGGCGCCGCACCCCGCCGCGCAACTCCTGCTGGGAGTCGGCCTGAGCCGCCAAGATGTCGCTGCCCAAGAAGAGAAAGATTGAGTCGGGGGGCGGCGGCGTTGGCGGAGGTGGAGGAGGAGGAGGAGGGGAGGGAGCCGAGCCGGAAGATGGCGGAGAGCGGGAGGTGGCCCGGCCGCGACGCCCGTGGTGCCGCCGGCAGGAGCGGGACCAGCAGTACTACGAGTGCTACTCGGACATCTCGGTGCACGAGGAGATGCTGGCCGACCGCATCCGCACCGAAGCCTACCGCCTGGGCATCCTGCGCAACGGCGCGGCGCTGCGGGGCAAGACGGTGCTGGACGTGGGCGCGGGCACGGGCATCCTCAGCATCTTCTGCGTGCAGGCCGGGGCGCGGCGCGTGTACGCGGTGGAGGCCAGCGCCATCTGGCAGCAGGCCCGGGAGGTGGTGCGGCTCAACGGGCTGGAGGACCGGGTGCACGTCCTGCCGGGGCAGGTGGAGACGGTGGAGCTGCCGGAGCAGGTGGACGTGATCGTGAGCGAGTGGATGGGCTACGGGCTCCTGCACGAGTCCATGCTGAGCTCGGTGCTGCACGCGCGGGCCAAGTGGCTGAAGGAGGGCGGGCTGCTGCTGCCGGCCTCGGCCGAGCTCTTCCTGGCGCCCGTCAGCGACCCGACGCTGGAGCAGCGCCTGGGCTTCTGGGCCCACGTGAAGCAGCTCTACGACGTGGACATGAGCTGCCTGGAGGCCTTCGCCACGCGCTGCCTCATGGGCCCGTCGGAGATCGTGCTGCAGGACCTGTGCGGCGAGGACGTGCTGGCCCGGCCGCAGCGCGTGGCGCACCTGGACCTGGCCCGCGCGGGGCTGGAGCAGGAGCTGCAGGCCGGGGTGGCGGGGCGCTTCCGCTTCAGCTGCTATGGCTCGGCGGCCATGCACGGCTTCGCCTTCTGGTTCCAGGTGACCTTCCCGGGAGGGGACTCGGGGAAGCCCCTGGTGCTGTCCACCTCGCCCTTCCACCCGGTCACGCACTGGAAGCAAGCCCTCCTCTACCTGAACGAGCCGGTGCAAGTGGAACAGGACACGGCCATCTCCGGGGAGATCACGCTGCTGCCCTGCAGCCACAACCACCGGCTCCTGCGCGTGCAGCTGCGCTACAAAGTGGGCGACGAGGAGGAGAAGGCCAAAGACTTCTCCATGGAGGATGGGCAGTGGCTTCTCTCCCAGCAGCTGCCTCCCGAGGAGGAGGCCAGGCTTTCCCGGTAGAGGCGAAGGGGGGGAGGTCACAGCAGAAAGGGAGATCCCTCCTGCAAAACTCGGGGAGCATTATGTTCTGTCTGCCTTTTCCCTCCTGGCTCCTGGGGAGACTGATTGACTGCACTCTCCCTTGTTCCTGGCGTCATTTATTTTAAATATGACCCCGATGCCCCCAGCCATGAAAACAGCGTGTTCATGAATAGGCTTTTGAGCCTCAAAAGTATGTGGTACCAAGCACTTGTATTTCAGTTTGTTTGTTTGTTTCACGAAAGAAAAAACACGTAATAAAATGTCTGTATGAAAGTTCCATGCAAAACCCTAACACCTCACACCTTCTTGAAGCCGGAAGCTGCGGGGACAGGGAAAAGAGTGTATAGTTAGAGGCCATACATTCCCGGTCTGGCTTTTATACCTGTCCAGGCCCATATTCCTTCCTTCTCAGAATTCCTTCCCTTCCCAGGGGCCTCTAGCCTATAGTACTGGAAGAGGGAGGAGGAGGAGGAGGAGGGAGTAGGTTAAATAACCCTGTTCTCACACTTACTAGTAACATTCCATAGGGTGCTCAAATTGTTGAACAAACACATTGTTAAGCTGCCAGTCTAAGAAATCAAGAAAGAGACCTGCAAATGAAGTGATAGAGAACTTATTTCTTGTCTTTACTGTTAGGATTTCATCAAGAAACTGTCCCATGTATTTTCCATAATTTTATGGAACAGGCTGAGAGAGATCGGCTCAGAGCCTGGCTCAGGCCCTCTCCATCCATCCCCCTGGGGAAATCAGTTCCGCTCGCTCACTGAAATATGTTCTCAGCTGGAAGAGTCCACTTCTCCTTTAAAACTCCCTCATTCAGGCAGATCATCTCTCACTTGGCCTACTTAAATCAAATGCAAGTTCCCTTTTTAACACGAAAGTTCCCTTTTTTCTTTTTAGCTCAGCCAACTGTGAAAGTTGTGAATTCAGGGAAGTCATTTGTAATGAAGTGTGAGTCATGTTATCCAGTTTGTTTCGCCCATGCTCCCCCCCTCCTCCCCGTGGCAAATAAAACATGGGCGTTCTGTCTGGAGAGATGGAAGGAAGACGTTGCGTGTGCTGAGGGATGCTGCTGGTACACTCCAAAGTGTGAAAGCCCCTTCGGAGGACAGCTCCAGGGTCATGCTGCGTGTAGGGTTTTGTGTGCCAGCGGGAAACAGGTGTGAAAACTGGTCCTCTAAAGTACTCCACCCGCTTTGGTCATGATGCCCCTTGACTCAACGCGTATTAAAGCACTTAAGTATCGTAACTAATTTGCTAAAGTTTGGTGACCACAGGAATGTCTGTCATGAAGGGAAACAGAAATGTACAAAATCACAGAAGATCCTCCAGTAGCAAGCAGTACAATCACAGCTGCTGGCTTCCACATGCAGGGAGTTAGCAGCCTACGTGCATGGTGCAGCCAGAGCAAGCCTGGTGTGGTTTGAGCTGGGGCATGAACAGCTGCTTATTTTAGGGTCAGCTCTGTTGTAAGTGGAACATTTATTTAGGATTTAGGGTACAGTTTTGAATCAAGTTCTGGTGTTTATGTTTTCTGGATGTTTTGTTTTTTGTTTTTAACTTGTTAGAATAACTTCTTTGCTGTATGGGCCAATGAAAGCATCTTTTGCCGAAACTGGTTTGGCTCAATGGATAGAGCGTCGGCTTGGGGACTGAAAGGTCCCGGGTTCGATTCCGGTCAAGGGCATGTACCTTGGTTGCGGGCATATCCCCAGTAGGGGGTGTGCAAGAGGCAGCTGATCAATGACTGTCTCTCATCGATGTTTCTAACTATCTCCCTTCCTCTCCGTACAAAATCAATAAAATAAATTTTAAAAAAAAAGAAAGAAAGCATCTTTCAAGTTCCACTCTTAAACATGGTTTTCTGAATATATGTCCTACAGAGTTCTTATTACCGGTATAAGCACACAAACTTTGGAGAACTCGAGAAGTAAAAGGTATTTTATCATCAGGCAAAGTAGGCTTTAAAATCCCCACTCCGAGAAAAAGGAGTTAGCATAGAAATACAGTTACTAATGCAGTTTGTCAAGAGGCAGCACAGGCCAGCGGTTCAAGGCCTGGACCCCCGAGCCAGACAGCTCCTGCTGCAGCCCCAGCTCCGCAGGCGGTGTGACCTCCAGCAGAATCCCTACCTGCTCTTCTCCGGTGCTCTCCTGTGCTCTCAGGCCAATCAGGGAGAACAATTGGAAGATGGGGGAACACGTGAATACATACGACCACACAGGGCCTGGAATAAGATCTCAGCATCTCCCGGCTGCTGCCATTGTGGGAAAGTAATACACAGGCCTGGAAGAGTTGGACAGACAAAACTGGCTGCAGGACAAGGGCTGAACATGGGTTTTGTATGGTCTTGGTTGAGAGCTTCCGCATGGCTGTCTGTGAGAGCAATGTGTGAGGGCCCCAGAGGACCCAAAGGAAGCCAGAGCCCTTTGGCGCCAGGAGAGCTGCAGGAGGAGGAGCTTGGGAGATGCCTCCGCCCCCAGGCGCAGTCCAGTCTTTGTAGGAACCGCTGCTGATTGCCAAGGGTCCTGGGAGCCACAGAGGCGCTGCCAGCCCCGAGGAGAGGCACAGGGGGAAGATCCACCTGCTTTCCTGGAACAGCTTACCAGTACATGTATGATCACACTGCCACGGCCACTGTAGCAAGTATGTAGGATATAAGCCCATGATACCCAGATTCTGCCTCCAATTAGATATGTTAGAGGATCAGTCAGACAATTAAATAAACAAAGCATAATGGGGTAAATAGTGGGATGGCACAGGTGTTGGGGGGGGCAGGTATTTATCTTGGGTTTACATGCTAGACAAACGTCACAGATACTGAATTAGCTGAAGGTCACATGGCTAATTCTTGGCAGTGAAATATACATATTTCAATTCCTTACCCCAAACAGAATTGCCAATTAATCCGTGCGTATGTGCTTTAATTTTTTTTTTTTTTAAATAAGGACATACTGCCCCACCGGCATGGCTCAGTGGTTGAGTGTTGATCTATGAACCCCAGGAAGTCAGGCACAAGCCCAGGTTGCAGACTCCATCAAAGTGTGGGAGGTGCGGGAGGCGGCTGATCAATGATTCTGTCTCATTGATGTTTCTATCTCTCCCTCTTCCTTCCTCTTAAATCAATAAAAGGACATTTATAAAAAGTGCATAACTCTGGAATGTTATTTTTTTTTTTTATCTCGTAACGAATGAGAGAGGGGAAGTCCTTAGTGTAAGAGTCTCATTGGAGATCCACCTTCAGTGTATAGAATCTCAAGATGGACAGAGAGTAAGCACTCATTGAAACAAGCCCTGTACCTGCTTCCCTCACAAACCTGATGAAATGGGGCACTTTCTGAGGTCCTCAGGCAACTGAATCTTCAACACAAGACCAAAGTCAATGAGTTCTGCCATTCTGGCTACACATACCTGGTGCTGGAGAGCAGGGAGGCATCCCTGAGGCATTCATTCAGTTCACCATTTAACAAACACCAACTATCTAACAATTCAGTTCTATGGTAAGTAAGTCAGTCCTAACTTCGAAGAGCTGGGATACAGTAAGGAAATAAAATGACCTACATCAATAATTTTCATACTTTCTTTAGCCCAGAAAGACCTCCTTCCACCTAAATGTTAACCTCTGCGAAGCAGGGTCCAGAAGCCAGCCCTCATGTCAATTCCATCCTTAAAATTTCTCCCAGGTGCAAAAATAAATAAATAAATAAATAAATAAATAAATAAATAAATATTTTTGCATAGATTATGAGACCTCAGAGGAAAATTCCTCTACAGTGTTAGATCCAGAAATAAATTCGTGTCCTGTAAATAACTGTTTTATTTCAGCTAATGGATGTGGTCCATTGGGTGTATGGTTCCTCTCCCATTGGCTCTTAGAAAGCTGAGCCAAATTTATGACTGATTTGTGCTGTTTTAGCTTTACATCTGGCTCCACTTCCATACACCAGTGTTTTTTTTCTTTTCTTGATTTATTGCCCTTCTCACTTATAATAAATATTGCATGTTTTGTTGGAATTTATGTATCTTTGTTCTCTTCTAATACCTTTTGGCATTAAAATGCCGTCTTGCTTTCCAGAATATCTGTAGAAGTTTGAGGACAAGGTGGTAAGAGAGAGGATTCTGCAATATGTCCCTTCGTGCCCTTTGGAATTTGGTGTCTCACTTTGCTCAGATGGGTGGGCAGCTGATTGGATCTATCCTTTTAGCCAACCCGCAGCATTTTCTGTTTGTAGAATCAAGATTTCTGAATGCGTGGAGAATCCTGAGACAGGTAGACCATGCCCAGGAAACTTAGATGTCCTGCAGCATCTCTCTAAACCTAGAATAAACCCTTGTCGAATCTTAACCACAACAGTCAGGAACATGGAAGACTGCCGAGCCTGTTCCAAAAATGTATCAAAATCCTTTCAAGTGATGATAAGGAGGAAATAGTGCAAGGAGACTAAGTCTCACACTATGGTGCATGTTAGTATGGGGGGGGGGGGGGAATGTTTGCAACCAAGAATACTGGACCTAACTAAAACAATGACAACCAGTTTACTTAGACTTCAACCCATCCACTCTTTGACAAGTAGGTGTCCACCAATCTTCTCTTCCCCCCTCAGCCCCTAGTGGACAGGACCCCACAACATTGCCAAAAGGCCCCTGAAGAAATTAAAATCCCATGAGCTCTCCAGTCTATGCCAGGAGATCATCGCTGGGCTGGTCCCTGTGGGGTTAGCATGCGTCTGCATTTCTCCCATTGGGGTGGGAAGCAGACAGGCTGTTCTCTCTAAATCAGCGTTCTGAAAGGCTAAAAGCTCGTCAAGGGCATGAGTCATGAAGGGCTACAGTGCAGGGCAACAGCCAGAGTGAGGCTGCATAGATATTCTCCCAGAAGTTTACTGAAAATATTTTGAAAATCCACTTATTTTAACAGCACATTTGACATTAGGAAAGTAATGCATGCTGATTATAGCAAATTCCAGATGACAGAAACG